AAAAAAAAACAAACAAGTGCTTCAAGCCTTCCTTAGATTCAGCAAGCAAGAGCATGTCATCTGCACAATATAAAGTCTCCCTCCAATCTTGGTGTCACACTCCTCCTCATAGAGTCCAGCTTTTTGGATAATATGCTCAGCATACAGATTGAATATGTATGGCAAGAAAATATAACTTTGGCGCACACCCTTCCCAATTCCAAACCATGCAGTGCTCCCCTGCTCCATTCACACAACAGCCTCCTGAGCCAGGCATAGGTTCCGCATGAGCACAATCAAGTGCTCTGGGATTCCCATTCTTCTCAGTGTCAACCACAACTTGTCATGATCTACACAGTCAAACATCTTTGCGTAGATCCCAGATTAGAAGTTGGTTGAAATGAGGAAAATCAATAACAAACATTTAACAATTGTAACATGGAATGTATATAGCTTAAGTGTTGAAAAACTGGAAATTGTTCAAAATGAAATGGAATTAATGAGTATTGACATCCTAGGTATTAGTGAGATGTGATGGACCAGCTTTGACCACTTTGAATCAGATAATCATATGGTATATTAAGCCGGGAATGAAAAAAGAAGAATGGCGCTGCATTCATAGTAAGAAAGTCAATTTCAAGTTCTATCCTGAAATGCAATGTGGTGAGTGATAGGATAATATCCATATGCCTACAAGGAAAACCCATTAACATGACTTTTATTCAAATATATGCTCCTACATCTAGAGTTAAAGAGGAAGAAATTGAGAATTTTTACCAGATTTTACAGTCTGAAATTGACCAAACATGCAATCTGGATGTGTTAATGATAATTGGAGAGTGGAATGCAAAAGTAGGAAACAGTGAAGAAGGAACAATAGTTGGAAAATAGGGGCTTGGTGATAGAAATTAAGCTGGAAATATAATGATTGAAGTTTGTGTTTACAATTAGTTATTCATTGCAAATACTTTTTTTCTAAAAGACACAAATGATGACTTTACATGTGGATTTCATCATACGGGCTGCATAGGAATCAGCTTGACTGTATTTGTGGAAGAAATCATTGGAGAAGCTCAAAAACAGCAGTCAAAACTAGGCCAGGGACAGACTGTGGGTCAGATCATCGATTACTCATATGCAGGTTCAAATTGAGGCCGAAAAAAATGAAAATAACCAAGATATGATCTTGAATCAATTCCATCAGAATTTCATGATCACCTTAAGAATAGGTTTGAGGCATTGAACACCAGATGAGGCATATAAGACCAGATGAGTTGTATGATACCAAGGATATCATCCATGAAGAAAGCAAAAGGTCATTATAAACACAAAGGAAAAAATGAAAATGGATGTCAGAAGAAACTCTAAAGATTGCATCGGGCATTGAGAAGCCAAATACAAAGGAAAACACATTTATGTGAAAGAGCTGATCAGGTGATTTGAAAGGGCAGCCTGAGAGGACAAAGCAAAATAGTATAATGGAATGTGCAGAGAGCTGGAACTGGAGAATAAAAAGGGAAGAACTCAATATGGCTTTTCATTTCCTCGCTGCTGGTGGCAAGAGTGATGATTGTGGAGCCAAGCAAACTAAAGTTGTTAACAATCTCAATCTCTTCATCACCTATTGGCCCAGTGGTGAGAATCTTTGTTTTCTTGATATTGAGCTTCAATCCATATTGAAGGCTGCAGTCCTTGACCTTCTGCAGCAGTTGCCTCTGGTCCTTCTCAGTTTCAGCAAGCAGGGTTATGTCATCTGTATAATGCAGATTGTGGATGAGTCCTTCTCCAATCCTGATACCACACTTCTCCTCATAGAGCCCAGCTTCCCAGAGAATCTGTTCTGCATATAAATTGAAAAGGTATGGGGCTAGGACACATCCCTGGCGTAAACCTTTCCCAATTTTGAACCATGCAGTGTTTCCTTTCTCTGTTCTGACAACTTCCTCCTAGTTCAACTATAGATTTCACATAAGCACAATCAAGTGCTCTGATATTCCCATTCTTCTCAGAGTCAGCCATAGTTTGTTGCAGTCCGCACAGTTTAATGCCTTTGCATAGTCATTGAAACACAAACATCCTCTAGTTCTTCCTGCTTTAAGCCATGATAGCTATATTATCCCTAGTACTATGGGCTTCTTCTAAACTCAGCCTGCACTTCAGGAAATTCCCTGTTGATGTGCTGTTCCAGTTGTTTTTGGAAAATCTTCAGCAGAATCTTGGCTTGAATGTGATATTAATGATATTGTTTGATAATTTCCACACTCTGTCAGATCACCTTTCTTTGAAATGGGAACAAATACAGATCTCTTCCAGTCAACTGGCCAGATGGTTGTCCTCCAGATTTCTTGGCACAACTTAGTGAATGCATCCAGAGCAGTGTTTGTTTTTTTTGAAATATTTTAATTGGTATACCGTTGATTCTTGGGGCTTTTTTTTTTTTGCCAATTCTTTCAGAGCAGCTTGAACTTCTTCCTTTATCACCACCACAGGCTCTTCCTCATATGTTGTTTCATGAAATTCTGTGTCAGCCAGTCCCTTTTGGTACAATGACTCTGTATACTCTTTTCATCTTCTTTTAATGCTTCCTGGATCATTTAATATTCTGACTAAAACATCCTTAAGTATTGCAGCTCAAGTCTTGAATTTGTTCTTCAGTTCCTTGAGCTTAAGAAATGCTGGCGAGTTTGGCCCCTTTGATTTTCTGACTCCAGCTCTTTGCACATTTCATTATAACACATTTACTTTGTCTTCCTGCTCTGCCCCTTGAAACCTTCTGTTCAGCTCCTTAATATTTTTATTTCTTCCCTTTACTTTGGCTTCTCGGAGCTCTAGTGCAATATTCAGAGTCTCATCTGACATCCATCTTGGTCTTTTTTTCCTCCTCTGTCTTTGTAATGACCCCTGCTTTCTTCCTGGATGATGTACAAAACCCTGTAGAGGAGCTTTTACTCTGTAACGTGAGATCTCACCATGACTTAGCACCTGCTTGACTGCCCGAAGTCAAGTGGTTTCCAGCTATTTCTGAGGTTCCTCCCACCTTTCAAAAAAGAATCTGGAGAGCTGAGGGAGGCGCCGGACAGCTGGCGACCTGTTCCAGGGGCCAGAGAGCGAGGGCATCCGGGGGAATTCCAGGGCCATGAAACCCCAGGAGGAGACTCCAGCAACCTTTTTAGAGGTCCAGAAGAAGCCATTCCCTCCAATAGGCTCAATAGGATGGCATCTAATATCTTTGGACCAACTGAAGAGTCTCCGAACATCCCCAAGAGGACAAATCCCCCAGGTGGAAAAGGAAGTGGCATATTTGATGAGTCTACGCCCGTCCAGACCCGACAGCGTCTGAACCCACCTGGTGGGAAAACCAGCAACATTTTTGGGTCACCTGTTGTTTCCACATCACCGTCAGCACACCCAAACATGCCCAAGGACCATGTTTTGTTACGTGAAGGAGAAGACCCCAAACTAGACCTTCCAGCCACGGCAAGAAGCCCCTCGTGAGAAGGACTGGGGGAGAAAGGTGATACGAGAGAATCTGAACCCACCAAGCAGCAGGAGCCCATGACCAAGGTTGACAGCCACGAGCCTCGCTTGGGGCCAAGGTCTCGCTCTCACAACAAAGTCCTGAACCCCCCCTGGAGGCAAGTCTAGCATCTCCTTCTACTTAGAGTCTGAAGCATCCCTAGTAGCCACACAGAAAACTCACAAGAGCATCCCATACTATAGTTCCTTTAGTCTGCAAGAGCAGGGGTGGTGGGAGGGTGAAGCAAAAAGAAGAGAAAAAAAAAAAAAAGAATCTGGAAACAACGTTCCCCAGAATTAGCATCCTTGTTTGGTCTCTGCTTAGAATTTGCCAGGGACAAACATACAGAGATAGACCCATGGGCAGATTTAATTTAAACCTGGTGATTTCTTCCCATTACAGCAAAGATACTTTAGATTAGTTAGCAAACTTTTACCTGATAGTAGATATTTTAGACTCTGGGTCTTATTACAGTGTCATGTATTCTTATATTTTTAGCAATTCTTTAAATACGTCAAAAGAAAAACCAACCCAAGTCTTAGCTGACTGGCCGTATGAAAGCAGATGTTTTTCTAATAGCTTTTCGTTTCCCAGCCTCTACCTATAGTATCAAGAGCTTTTTCATACAAGTTTGCTGACACAAACTTTTGATTAAGATAAACTTTTCTGATCATTGGTGGCAGTTTCTATAAGCATCTCTAGTTCTTTCTACAGTCAAGCAAATTCTTGATTGCAGTATTTAGCCTTTCATCCCCAGAATATAGAGAAATCTGTCCTCCTGACCAAGTGTATATAGATGCATATAAAATTGTACCATCACCCTCAGCAAGATGGATTAACAGAGACTGTAACAACGGACTCTAGCGTATCAGAGAGCATGAAGGATGTGCAGGTTGGGGCAAAGTTTCCCTCTGTCGTTCACAAGGTTGCTATGACTTCTAGCCAACTTGCCGACACTTAACAGCAACAACACACAACCTAATGTGCCTGGAAGTAGTGTTCCTTTTTACACTGACAGCTTTATTTGCAGCATGATTTTGACAATATAGTTTTGTTTCTTAACAGGTTAGGGGCAAGTAGTGTTTGTCTTTTATAAGTCATAGTGAACACTATGAAATTATTTCTTTTATCTCCCAGGAATACAGTGACAAAGTAGCAGTAAATGACTTATCTTGGAATTTATATAAGGGTCAGATCACAGTTCTTCTAGGACCTAATGGGGCTGGAAAGACCACAACCTTGTCTGTTCTCACAGGTATGTATTCCTTCCTCCCTGTGCAGAACAAAGATCAAGTTCCTTCTAAAACTAGGGCCTTTAGTGAGTTTTTCTGAGTTCAAAAACTGTAGTTTTGACATTGAGTGTACTGTCATTTCAGTGATATCTAAACTTGAGTTTTTTAGTTTTTGTTTGGTTTTTTTTTTTTTAGAATAAGACTATTTATTAAATGTATTATTTACAACGATATTGATGAATTTTTAAGTATCTGTCCCCTTGGGATTTTATCACAGTATATGAAGCACTGGTGAGGTCGGTATCACCAGAATTTTCCAGTTTGTTGATTTCTTTGAGATTTTTTTCTCATCCAATGATTGTACTGCAGCAAATGAACATCATTGACTGCAACCTTGAAGTGGTCAGCCTCAGCTAGTCCTTGTATTTTGAATGGTTTGCCACTTTCAAATGGGAAAGCACTCTCTTTCTTCCTTTCCCCAGATGTTATGCTGCTTTGTATTGCAAACAATGACTCTCTTGTTGTCTTAATTGACGTGTGGGTTAAAGTGGAAGGCAACATCATTCCCTCTCTTCAAATCTAAAGTAGTTCTGTTTGTATTGGGTATTATGGTGCCCAGAACTGTTATCAGCTTGTAAGGCATGATTCCCCCTGGAAAAGACAGGTCATAATGTTATGGCAGAAAATGCACGATTCTAAACACTCAACCAGTATTGGGGATCAGCAAAGCTCTTGATTGCATGTACATTAGCTAGTGTTCAAACTGTTTCAACACTGAGGGGAAGCAAAGATTGGGCTTATATACAGAGATGGGGCATGGGGGTTATGCAGAGTTTGATGTGGTTGGCAGTCGAGATTTCTTTATGTTTAGGAGACATTATTGTTTCTAATTTCTCATGGGTTTGTAGGCCCCAGCAAGGTGCAGAGGGTATGGTAACCACGCTAGATCAGCTTGTACTAGAACATAAAGCTTAGTAAAACAATTATTGCCAAAATTATTGAAGCATACATTTCTTAAAAGGGCTGTCAAACGAAGTCGTCCCTCTAATACTGACATATTAAATGGCTTCTCTATGCTTAGCATATAAGCTGCTTTTACAATAAGGCATAGTCAGTGGTCCAGCTGGGGTGCCAGAGGGACCAGCTCTTGGCTGTCCAGGAGGCGGGTAGGTTCCAGGTCGGCTTGGTTGCCCTGCGTGGGATCCAGGTTGTGGTTGGGGCAGGATAAGCCCCAGGTGCATTTGAGCCAAAGTAGGTATCCCCTAGAGAGGCCTGTCCAGGGTGGGTGCCAAGAAGTACCTAACTAGGACAAGCCTCAGGAGGTGCCTGCTCAGGATAGGGCCCAGGGTAGGTGCTCCTAGGTAACTGCCCGCCCCTGCAGATTGGTTTCTCCGTGCACCAGGCCATCCTTGAGGGTTGGGGTTTCCAGACCCAGACACAGCATCATTAAGTAAAAAACTGTCTGCCCATCTTCCTGAAAGGCAAAATTCATGCCTCAGAGACCACTTGCTGTCTCTCTGGCTCCCAAAGTGCTCGTAAATGTGTGTTTTAATGATTTATAATCAAGGTGTTCCAGGTGATGTGATAACTCCATTTATTCAATAAATATATTCTAACACCAAGTGGTTTTTTATAGGGGCTAATAATAAATACAGTGGTGATTGCAAGATCTATACCTTCAGTTTTCTACCTTGGTAGGGATAGAAACAAACTTGGCACTTGTAATACAGCATCAATAAGAAGGGAGATGCTTTGATTAAGGTGGTATGCAGAATGACAAAATAATCTTTTTTCCCTTTAATTGTATTGTCATTTTAACGAAGGTTTGCAAAAGACTGGTTTTTCAGTCATTCATTCTTGCATATTTTCCTCCCTACCCCTGCCTTCCCACTCTGCCTGTCTGCTTTGCAATGCACCTCTTGTTCCAGGTTGTTGTCAATAATGCCTAATCATACATTCCTTTCAGACCGTTCTTCCCTTCATCTATTCAAATCTATTCATCTAGTCTTATCTATCCACTCTTTTCCTATTCTACCCCAACCCCATGTCAGTCTTATTTTATAGCAGAGGTGCTATGCCGTGTTTGTCTTTTGATGACTGAGATATTTTCTTTAACATAATGTCCTCGAGGCTCACCCATGTTTTGTAGTGTTTTAAAAGTTCATTGTTTTTCAGTGCTGTGTAATATTCCATTATATGAATGTAACAGTTGAGATACCAGATTTTATAGGGGAGCAGAGGAATGGAGTAACAGGATTTGTGAAAGGGAATAGGAAATAAATAGACTGGATTGTATCCTAAATATAAAGAAGGCCTGATCATAGAGGACTTCCACCCACTTAGGAGACCACTAACAGAAATTATCTAGATTGGTAAGTATACTGTGGTCAAGTGTACCCTCAGGAGGCCATTGAGAGTTACTATCCAATTTATATTAAGGCCAAGCTATATTTGCCAGTCAGAAAATCAAAAGACAAATTGCATTAGGTAAATCTGCTGTTAGAGACCTTTTCAGAGTCCTGAAAAGCAACAATGTCAGTCTGGAGACTAAGGTGCACCTGATGCAGTCCATGTTCTTCATAGTTACTTGCTGTACATCAGAGAGTTGGACAATGACTAAGAATGATAGAAGGATTGATGCCTTTGAGTTGTGGTGCTTGAAAAGAGTCTTGGTGAGCTCTGGTGGCCTAGTGGCAAGAAGCTGCACTGCAATCCCAGAGGTGTGCGGTTCAAATACACCAGATGCTCTGCTGAAGAAGGAGGAACCTCTTGTACCAGTCAGATCCGATTTGACGGTACACAAATAAAAAAAAAGAAAAGAGTCTTGAACATACCATGGACCACCAAGAAAACAAATCTGCCTTGGAGAGAGTGAAACCAAGTTGTTCCTTGGAGGCTAGGATTTTAAAGCTTTGTCTCACATACTTTGGGCATGTGGCCAGGAGACACTGGTCTTTGGAGAAGAACATCATGCATGGAGGACAACACAGGAAGAGAAGACTGCAAACGAGATGGATTGATACAGTGACTAGGGTAATGGAGGTAGGTGTGTCAGAGTTAGTGAGACTGGCTCAGGGCAGGTCGGGCGTCAGAGCTGTAGGTCATAGGGTTGCTATGAATCACAGGCAACTTGATGGCACATAACAACAGCAACATATTCAAGAAGAAACACATGAGTTTAATAATGTCCTCCAGGTATAACTTTTAAAAAATTTTTATAAGGCACGTCAGTGGGATAGCTAAATCGACAGACAGGTTGCCCATCATTTAGCCAACTCTAGAGCCAACTGTTTGGAGAAAAATGGTGAGGAAGTTCTAAAGTGTCTGACCCCTTTTGTTTTCTCACTCTTTTGCTAAAGGACACCTGAAGCCTCTAGTTAAGTATGCATAAAGACTAGGGTAGAACTCTGAATCCTGGAGGAACAGACCTCCAACCAGCATTGGATTTGAAACTTGTATAAAATGGGATATTACTAGAAGTCCTTGGATAACTAGCTGGCTCCAGAGAAAAGACCATAATCAACAAAAGAACTCTTGATTGATTGCCAGGGGAGAAGAATAAAAAAAGAGATCTCCTCTCTCCAAGTTTTGATGATCGACTCAGGACGAGTGAGCTGCTGCTACCTACTGTGCCTCAGGTTGCAAGGAGAGAAGGAGAAGGAGAGAGCGTGGGAGTTCCCCATGCTAAGTAAGGAGTCTCAGATCTTGGGCTTTGATTGCCTCTGAGCTGCAGTGAGAAGAGGTCTGTTGAAAGAAGCCTTCTCCACTTACAGGCCACAAGATGAAAGGTCAAAACTCACTACAAAATCTAGAAGCAACACTAACTGAGTGTACAGAAAATATGATTTAAAAGATGTGCTCTGGTGAGAGCAGGCTGAAGCTTGATGCAGCCTCAGCCCTGAACAAAGAGAAGAGGAGGTTATTTTTCCATTCTCTGTTGACTGATTGGGGGTAGTCACAGCAATTTGAAGAGTCCAGAGCCATTTTCCCATTTCTCTGCTATACTCATGTTAACCATCAACTACCTCCTGAGGTGAGTCATAAAACTGCATTTAGGGGTGAACATTAATCAAGTTTTCTGTTTCCTGGAACACACAGATGTATTCAGGTAGAGTCAGAAGGTCAACAAAATACAATCACTTTGGTTTCAATCAGCATTATAAAAAGACTCATCTTCTTTTTTAAAAAAAATATTTCTTTTACACTGGTTTACATACAAAGTTCATAAAATTCATATACATTGTTTTTCACACCGGATCTTTCCCCTTTCGTAAAACCACTCATTTTCATATTTCTTATGGGACATTTTGTACTGGCAGAGTCCTTCAACTTTGTTTATCTAGGATTCCTAATTTCTTCAATATTGAACTGACGTTGCTAAACACAGAATTGTTGGTTGATTTTTTTTCTCATTCATCACTTTAAAAGGATCATTCTGTGGCTTCTAACATCCTCGCTTTTGTACAAGAAACCAATTGCTAGTCTTACTGAGAATAATTTTTACATGACAAAGGTTTTCACTTTGGCTTTTGTCCGGGTTCTCTTTGGTTTGGGCTTTCACCAATTTTAATGAATTTAGATGTAAATCTATGTTGTTCTTATTAGAATTCACTGAGTTTGTTGGATATGTAGATTCATGTATTTAAGCAACTCTGGGAATACTTTTTTTTTTTACTTGAGTGAACTTTTACAAAGTAAATTACCTTTACATTCAACATTTTGTTCTATAACATTAACTTTAATACTTAAAATGTAATTGCCCATTACTTCCCTGCAATTATTTCTTATTTTTATGAATTCTTCTGGGGACTCTTTGTGCAATCACATGCCAATAAGACAGACCGATTAAAATATCCAGAGTACTTTATTACAGATATGGAGGAGCAGAATGAATTCTCTAAAAACTGCCACCTCCTCTAAAGAAGGATATTGACTTTTATAATTGTTTTAGTTACTAACCTACCTAACATATTACTATCTCTGGTTCAGCTATTCAGAGGAATAGTTCACACATCATTTCTAG